CATTTGAACAACGTAATTTTCACCAAGTGGCATCCAAGCCTGAATCGGTTCATGCTATGGAAATTCCCTACTTTGGTTGAGAATAATACACAGACTCTTTGCCCTTGGGCCAGTAATCTCGATTTTGTAAGCAAGAAGTGGGTATTTAAGATTAAGCAAAAGCTTGACGGCTCTATTGAAACCTTTAAGGCAAGACTTGTTGCTAAAAGTTCTTATCAAATTAGTGCTGTTGACTATCATGAAACATCTAGTCGGTTGTCAAATCTTCTACTGTGCTCTTGGTGCTTGCACTCACAGTTTCTTTTTATTGGCATGTCAAGCAACTTGATGTGTCAAATGCATTTTTTCATGGTTTTTTTGACTGAAGAGGTTTATATAGAGTAACATAAACGACTTGAAGATTTTGTCATCCTAATTGGGCATGCCGTTTGCACAAGTCAACCTATGGGTTGAAACAAGCCTCTTGGGCTTGGTTTCACTATCTTTCTAATGCTTTGATTGATATTAGATTTCGTTGTTCTGACTCGGATCCATCTTTATTTATGTTCCACTCTTGTGATACTCAGATTTTTGTGCTTGTCTAAGTTAACGACATTATTATTATCGGTAACAGTTCTATTCCATCTCTGAGATCATTGATAGGTTGAAGATTGATTTTTCTATGAAGGATCTTGTTGTCTTTTCTTATTTTCTTGGCATTGAAGCAACTTGGAACACTGATGGCCTTCATCTCTGCCAAACTAAATATATTATGGATCTGTTAGAGCATACTAAGATGGAAGGTATGAAGTCACATAATGCTCCCAGTATCTCAGGTTCTAAAATCTCAAAACAGGATGGTGATTTGTACTTGATTAAACTGATTATCGCCAAACATTGGGTGCACTTCAGTATGTCATTTTGTCTCATCTAGAGATTGCCTACTTTGTTGACCAATTGTGTCAATATATAATTGCACCAACTTCGTCCATTGGACTGCAGCTAAGCACGCTCTACGTTGTCTAAATAATACTCCATTTAATGGTCTTATTTATCATCTTGGGAAGAATAACTTATCAGCATACTGTAACTTAGATAGGACTGTTGACCCTGATAATTGCTAATCTAGTAGTGATTTTGGAGTATTTCTTTGTTGTAATCTTATTTCTTTGTCTGCCAAGAAATAGCCCACGGTTTCCAAATCTAATACTGAAGTTAAGTACATGGTTCTTGCTATTGTTACTTCTAAACTTTATTGGTTACGTATGGTTCTTCGTGATTTGGATGGTACACTTTCCTCTTCTTCTGTTGTCTGGTGTGATAATCAAAGCGATCTTGCACTAGCTAAGAATCCTATTTTTCATGCTAAAGCTAAAGATATTGAAGTGGACTACCATTTTCTTCATGAAAAGGTGCTAAGTGATGATATAATTATTCGTCATGTTTCTACTTTGGAACAGATCGCAGATATCTTCACCAAGGGAAATACAGCTAACAGGTTTTTGTTTATTCATTCCAAATTCCTTTTAGAAAAGACGATGATAAAGTTCAATCAACAACTTATCCTTGTACAGATCTTGTACAGATCATGATAGAATAAAATCAAATGTCAAACAACTTAAGTTCGTAAAGTTATCTTGTTTACCTTGAACTCCAATCTTCGAAAGAGTCTGTTACTGTAATTTTCTACCAAAAAAAAATCTGCTCGTGGGTTTTAGTTAGAAAACACTGTCTATTTTTTTCTCTATTTCTTTCAGTTCATTGTTAGTTTGCCCCCAAAAATTCTCAATGGCGACCATTGTACCAATTCCAAGTGACTCCAACAAGCTAGGTTTATCGAGGTTGGAAAAATGGCTGAGAGCATCGCAAGAAGTGTAGTCAAATCAGGTTTGTTGCTTGCTTCCCAGATAATAACTGCACATCTTGGATATGCTCGTCATACTGCTTTTAAATCTTTTGGCATCAAATCCTAGATCACACCAGTCAGGTATCCATTATCCGCGGCATGTTTGCGTGGGTGTCCGTGCTAATGTAATCTGTTGGAAAATGTAGCTCATTGAATCACTTTCGACATAGTTTTACGTAGGACCCGTTTGATCAATTTGAAAAATCAAATAGATTCGTGTTCTTCTCCTTGAAAAGAACGAAATTATATATTTACTTGTCAAAAATGATTCATGAGTGAATAAAAAATTAAAATTCAAAGTTAAAGAGTTTGAATATTATTTTGTGTTGAAGGAAAAACAATGTGTAGTTTGTCCCACATATAAAAATGATCAAAGAAATGAACACTTTATGTATGATTACATTTTGGATTGGAGTAATCATGTGTAGTATAGAGACTCTTTTCACATGTGCATGCAATGGGGTGCAAATCAATGCCCGAATCAAAACTCTGAACTTGAAACTGTGTGCAGGCACGATTTATGTACTTTAATGTGGGATTGAACGGAACAAAAATTTGCCCTCTAGGAGTTTCCATTTTTTGTTTTTATTTCCTATAAATTGCTTACTTTTTTTCTTCCAGCTGTCTCTTCAACTCTCAAAACCGAAATGTTATGGTGGATCAATGGTAATGTTAATTGTGTTGCACCCATAACTGCTTATTGTAAAGTCACTCATTATAGAGCCATTGTCGCTCATGTTGGAGCCTATATATAGAGCCGATTTTTCCAATGTCAGAGGCCCATGAATTCCTTCTCTTCCTTATCAGCATAACATTTTCAATATTCAATCTGCAAATTATTCTATTTTCTATCGAACCTTGGTTGTCGCGGTTATATATAATTCAATTCGTCGGAGTAGCATTTGTAGTACTTAGACTCTATTGATTTTTCATTGTATCCTAGAAAACAGGCGTTTGAACAAACTTCAAGCACCTACGGTGAGACGGCAAATTTTTTTTAAAGACACTGTGTAATAAAAAAGCCTCGATTTGTAAATTTCTGTTTTTTTTTTTAGCCACTGTTATTTCTGCAGTTTCATTTCCTGTTTGTGGTTTTTTTGAAATAATAAAATATTTATCAAGTTTCTGTTTGTTCAGAATACTTCATATCATACTCTGCAATATTATTTGGTCAACATAATCTTTATCATTTGATCTGGACTTGTATTTTGTGGCCTTTATGTTCAATTCTGTAACTTATCTTGGACGTTGGTTGCAGTTGAAGTGTTAATGTTGACAACAGTTTTATATGTTTCACAGCCCTTCAATGCTGTCCAAAAAATGTGCAGAGTAGAAGAATAAAATTCTTTAGTTTGTGATGTGGTAGATATTTTGGTTATTGAAATTGGATTAGTAGTTGAAATAAATATTACTCTTATTCTAGCTATGCTTCAACGCTATTTTTTCTCCACTCGATGGTGAAATCAACTGGAGTTCTTAAGAAAATCAAAGTTGCTTCAATTTCTCAATTTTCCGACCATTATACATGCATAGATCGATATTTTAGATTATCATATGATCTTGGCTTCAGTAAAGAATGTGCCCCATTTTCAGCCAAATCCCAATAAATCCCCCTGGCACCTCTGTATGTTTAGGGCATGTAGTAGTAAATTGGTGATAGATTTTTGTCTCTAAGATGGAAGGCCCATTGCATTTGATTGAACCAAACGTGGAATATTCTTTTTAACTCATTATTATTTGATTGAACCAAACGTGTTATTGAATTTACTACATGATAAATGTTAGACTGGAAAAGAAATAATAACATGAAGTTAAAAATAAATTAAAATTCATTTACCATTACATAAAAAAATACTTGATACTTACAAAAGTCCTTATATCTCTCGACTTTGACTTCAACATATACGTTTCTAGCAATCATCGTCAAAAACACAAAAACATTCATAATTTTTTTTTCTCAAGTAATTTTCTTGAGTTCCACCACTATAAATCACTTTCAAGTGCTGGTCACGTGCAGAGCATTAATTTCGTGTAGGGAAAAGAGAGGGATGCAACAAAATCTCATTAAACAAGTAGCAAGCTGAAGGGACATTTGACATGGTCCAATCAGTGATAAATAGTTTTGTCGTATTCAAATTTCAAAGGATTAGAATTGTGGCAGGTGTTGGGAATCTACTTATCATGCGCAGCGAAAAATAAAACAAATTTCAATTCCCATCAATGATTTATTTATGTTTAGATAGAAAGTATGATAGAAATTGTATCACTTACTAGATCTAGAAACTGCTTTGCTATTCTTTCGTTCCAAAGATTTTGATTCGTCATCCACAGCTGTCCAATTCTCATGCCTTCAATGAAATTCTACATAGAGAACAAGATTGTAGGAACTAAAGTTTTCTCCTCTTGTACTAGCAAGAATGAAAATCTCTACAAAGTTGTAAACCCTAGTCGCTTATAAAACGGGCTTGACTTGACCTGGTCCAATATTTAATTAATCCATTTAATTAAATCCAATCCTTGAATTAATTAATCCAATTAATTAATTCGAGTCCATAAGATTAATTAATATGAGTCCATATATAAGAAATTGAATAAATTAATTAATTTATCCAACGCTTATTAAATTAATTAATTGACAAATCACAATTTTCTAATTCTCCTTTTGTGTGCAACCCATAAGGTTCCCGATCACGATACCTAACGATATGAATTATTATTTTGATCTAATCAAAATGTTATATTAAAACACCCCTTCTAATTTTTCATCAACTCACACTCGTCATCCCAGATTGACGTCTAGCAATGTGTCAAGGCAATACATGTGACGGGAAATGTTAAGTGGTATGAAAAAATCAAACTCCTTCGTTTACCGTGAAATTATATTCCCTTCATCAATATAATCCAATCAATTACAAGATATGGAAGTGTGTCAATCTCGATTATCGATCATATCTTTCATTCTACTATTAAGTCTATATAATTTTTGATAGATTTGAATTATAAAAATACAAACATAGAATAATACAATGAACTCAAAAGCATCAAATAACTCTTATTTGGAAGAGTTGAAATACATCTCAACTAAAACTTGAAGAACGGAATTTGACACACACCTTTACTTGCGAGGATTCATTGTGTAATAGGTCTGGAGAAAAGTTAAGCAAAGAAGAAAAATGGCAGCCAGTAAGGCAGTAAAAGTCCATGGACTGTGAAAATGAGTGTGAATTAGTTCAGCAAACCATGTTTTTCCCTTGCTGCTGCAGTGCTTCTCAATTTTCGTCTTCACCTCATCAAAAATAAAGTCAGTTTCACGTCCGTGAGTATCAATCCCTTTGATTACTTCTACAATCCGTTCATCACTGTCCAGGTTGCTGAAGAGTATCTTCTTTTCTCTCAGTTCCTTGACATCTTCAGATTTAACAATGAGCGATTGCATGAAATTAATGTAGCATAATACAGTATATTTATACTCGTTTTTTAGACTCATTTCATGTGCAATCAATTGCATAAATATTAGCTTGGAATTAGCATGAAAAAATAAAACCGGGAGTTGAAGTTGCCCAAAAAATATGTAGGATTTGAACTTAATATCCTTCAAACAATAAGAACTAGGTTTAAAGTGGATGCCCTTTGCTTTGAGGTTGGTGACTGAACGAGATTGACGATTGTATTCTCTCGATTCATTTAGATTTCCTCTCCTCCACTGCCACCATTGATATCGGTCAAAAGGCTCTTCTCCTGCATTATCCACTTCTTTGACAAGTAGTTGATAGGAAGCATCCAGAAGGTGTAGTGGTAGCCCTTCGTCTTCTACAGGAATTCTTGTTATTAGCCTGATATTCTTAAAAGCAAAGAATCTTAAGAACTTATAGAAAGTGTGTTCTCCATGCATTAAGTCACACAAGAGCTTAATAACCCGGAGTGGAATTTGATTCTCGAACAAAATCAGATCCTCGGTTACAACTGGCGTTGCAGCTATTCCAAGATACTGACGGGAGTGTTCACATTTTTCGATATCTTCCAAGTTGACCTCCATGATATATATAGCGAAAGATGCATCTAGAAGCATCATTTCTGCTAGTGCTCGATCATCATATGCATCTGTAGAAACACCAACGTAACAATTTCTAATCTGGTCGATCACTTGTGAGATCTTGTCGTAGAATAATTCTGTGCATCTGCTTGAAACAAAGTCCCTACGGACTTGACGCTTGAGTTCTTCTGCCATGCGAAGTTCTGGCGAGCCATGGTAATAAGGGCCAAAGGAAACCATCTTAGGAGTGTAGCAATCCTCTTTGTTGTGTTTATTGAATCGCACAAGTTTGGGCACTCTGTGCATTCGGCGAACATCTTCCATTAGGTTCAAGAACTGAAATTTCCAGTTGCTGTAAGATTGCTTTATTATACAAACTGAAAAGCGTTTTCTACTCTATAATTCTACTGGGCCGTCAGATAAATAAAATAAATCACCCAACGGTACTCTTAATAATTGAAGTAGTTGCTAGTCACTTACCGTGAACCAAAATATCTCGTGGTTGTTGAATATTATAATTTAATCACTTAAATTTTGTTTTTTTCAATGATGTCAGTCAGAAGGCAGTAATAATCAATGGACTGCCTTTTTGTAAATCATCGAATCTAAAAACAAAAAAAAAAACAAAAAAAAAATTGAACTCCAACCTTGAGGGCCTCACCACCCCTCCCTTAAAGTTTTGTGAGGGAGGTAAATTGCGGGATGTGCCCCAACAGGCTAGAGAACAAGAGCTGCCTGTATACTCGTAAATCATCGAATCTAGGTTGGTGGTGTATTGCTAATCTCTTTAATTACCTTCCTAAATTCTTTGGGAGCAGAAGGAGTATACCCTTTTCTCACATGGCACTTGTTTTACGTCTAACATTGAGTGACTTCATTAAGTTAACATATCAATGCGGAAACTACAACATTTCCTATGCAAAGCATCCAGAATGTGAAGTGGCTGCGTTCTCTCCAGGAACTTATGGAATTGCAAGCTAATTTTGATTCTTCTTCTTTCTTAGTGATGCATTTAATAAAATGAAATTTAGATTACGAGTAAACCAATTAGGTGAATAATACAGTAGAATCCTAACTTCCTATTGAAAATAAATAAAATAAAATACTAACTCGACTTTTAAAGAATACAAACTTTTGATTTTGAACAATATATAGATCTTAACTTTTAAAACAATGTAATAAAATTTTGAACTACTACTTACCTGACCAAAAGATCCCAAACATATATTAACAAAATTATATTTCTCATGTCATAAAAATACAGTCAGAATACCCAAAAAAAATTAATAATAATAATAATAACAACAACATTTCTATAATTTTTGATGAAAAAAATCTAACGTTCAATATTGTCAATATATCTAAATGTGTAGAAAGCTGTTAAAGTTAAACAAGCAAGCAATCTATAAAGATTAAATACAAATTAATCTATTTTTATAGTAAATGATAATTAAAAATTGCTATTTTTCATAGCAAACTTGGATAAAATGATGAAAAAGAAGAGGAGGATACCTTATAAGAATTTTTATTTATAAATCATTTTTTTCATATAAAAATAGAGAGAGAGAGAGAGAGAGAGAGAGAGAGAGAGGAATTGATGATGATGATGATGATGATGAGTGATAATTACAGCAAAAGCATCAAACTTTTGAAACAGTAGCAGAGTCTCTCCAAACCTTTGATTTATTATAGTCATCACCCTAACCATTCCAAACATTGCAATGAAATCATTCCGGGCAGTTTCCATCCATAATTTTGTCAGTTGACCAAATATTTAATATTGACCACATTTTTAATATTTTAGAAAGGGGCAAAAAATTAACTTTCCATTTATCATATTAAATAATTAAATTAAATTAAAAAAATAAGAAATAAAAAAAAACACACACACACAATCGTCTTCTTCCTCTTACCCCTCACCCACCCCCACCCCCACCCCCACTTCAAACCCAAAATCCACACCGACCACCACCACATCCACCTCTACTGCAATAAAGAGTCTTGCTTCCTAAATCAATTGACCCATAAGATGATGAAACTGCCTGACCACTAGGGCTGTAAGCAAAAACCGCAAAACCGGAAAACCGAACCGAAACCGCATTTTAGAAACCGTCGGTTTGGTGCCACGTGGACCCGGTCAACGAAATGGTTTTGACCCAAACCAAACCGGTTAAAATGGTTTGGTTTAGGTTTGAGAATTTTAATTACGGTTTAAAACCAAACCGGACCGGTGAAAAAATATATAAAAATAAAAAAATGAAAATTTTTGAAAATTCATCCAAATATGTAAAATTCAATAATTTTGTCATTTGTGGGTATTTTTGTCAATTCCTAATTTTCTAATACAGATATATTATTATTATTATCATCATCATCATCATCATCCAATAATCCTAATATATATTTAATAATTTTAATACTAACATAATCTATCAAAAACATTTTTCCTCTTCAAAATTTAGACGAACTCCAGTCGACACCCAACACAGTTTTGAGCCACCGGCACCACAGACTTCTTTTCAGATTTTTCACGCATCTTCAAAGTCAAATTGAAGTCTATTATACCAAATCGAAGACAAAGAGATTCTAGACCTTCAGTGATAATATTTGCTACAAATAAAGTTTCAGATCAATAATTTTTTTGGAGCAAACTAAGTTAAGAGTTTGAAATTAAATGTGTTTCATAACATCATACAAACGTAAACTTGTGTAATTGTTATGTTTAGATACTATAAACAATTGCTTTATTATTGTAGTTGGTTATTCTCTTTGTTTAATCAATATCTTTTTTTCAGATATAATAATCACGAGGTCTTGTTAGACATCGTTATTTTTTTGACCTTATATCTAGTTTAGTAGACTTGTATTGTAACGTTACTTTATCGTCATTAACCTAAAAAAGGTGAACAAAAATGAAAAAAAAAACTGTGTTTTAGTTTATTGTGATTTCACTTTGATTTAGTTAATATTTAAATTTATAGTAGATATATTTAGTCTCTGTTTGAGCCATATTTTTCATATCATCATAATGAGAAAATTGACTATTGGAGAGGAAGCTGGGTCCCACACATGAAATAGCAGGTTAACAAAGGCGGCTGGACTTGTAGAATAACAATCCAAATTTTCATTTTTTTGTCCCAAAAATTTGATTCAAACAGGGGCTTAGTTTGTTTTAGATTTATTACTAGTGAGATATAAATATATATTAAATTCAATGAACTAATGACATAAAAGTAGACGAGCAAAAAATATATGGCGAAACCGGCGGTTTAAAACCGGACCAAACCGTTAGGTTTAGGTTTGAGTTTTTTTCAAACCGTTCAAAATGGTTTGGTTTAGGTTTGGGTTTTTCTCAAACCGTTTTAAACGGTTTGGTTTGAAAATTTGTCAAAAACCGGTAAAACCGGACCGCTTACACCCCTACTGACCACAACCAAATCAACTCTTCAAACTACCTATTCAAAAAATGAAAACTAAACATTCGACATTCAGTCACAAATTCCACAATAAGATATTTGGAATTGAATTAAGCCTATTACACCCAAAGTGGAAACAAAACTACAAAAAGAAACCTCATCTTGTTCTTCTGTAGCCAATGATTGGTACCCTTTAGGCCTCTTGGCTACTTAACCCACCATCTCCGCCTCTTTATTTCTCTCTCAGTATATCAAACAAAAAGGGACGAGAAAACTAACAAAAAAACGAATATAGATCCTCCTGATCCAACCCAAATCAGACAAATGAAAGAAAAATAGATGTGGGTGGAGGTGGCAGTGGCAGTGATTGATGTGGATTTTGGGTTTGAGGTAGGGGTGGTGATGATTGAGGGCTGAGAGGAAGAAGATGGTTGTGTGTGTGAGCGCGTGTGTTATATTTCTTATTTTTAATTTAATTATTTAATATGATAAATGGAAAGTTACACTTTTGGTCCTTCCTAAAATATTAAAAATATGGTCAAAATTAAATTTTTTGTCAATTGATAGAATTGTAACTGAAAACTGTCCAAAAAGACTTCACCTGCAATGTTTGAAAATGATAGAGATGACGACAGCAGTAAATTAACGGTTTGAAAAAAGTCTGCTAGTGTTTCAAAGGTTTGGGGTTTTTGCTACAGTTATCCCTAATAATTAATAATAATAATAATAATAATAATAATAATAATAATAATAATGGTTAAGCAAAGAGAAAAATATTGATTTTTTGTATCATGGCTATAAGGTTTGTAATTTGTAGAATGAAAGAGGAAAAAGAAATATTATAGATTGAAAGATACTTTTTTATGAAAGCCTTTCAAAATCTTTGGATGAATTAAAGACTTTTTATGAAATTTTATATTTGCACTTTCTATACAAAAATTAGTACGTAGAGGATTTCATAAAAGTCATTAACATTTGAATATTGTGTAACTTTTTAAGAATTTTAGCCCCTGTTTGGCCCCCATTTTTGAGAAATGAAAATAGGTGGAATTTTTTTCTTTTTTTTTTTTGGCAAAAATGAGTGGTTGAAAAAAAAAATCGATTTGAGTGTAATATTATATTATGAAAAATTGTGTGGTTGAAAATAGAAGAGATAAAAATGAAATGAAATGGAATGCAATTTAATGAGTATCAAATGAGCGCTTAAAAGTCTTGATTTTATACCCCGACTTTTAAAGATTTTCAATGAGTCCATAGTGAATACCTGAAACTTCTACGTAGTCTTAAAAATATACTAGTTAAATCATTGTTTATCTCCATTTAATTACATATTAACACAATAAAATATTTTGTACGTAAACCCAAAATTTTTGCATACTTTTTAATCACGTGTTGTTCAAAAGCTCACTAATTTAAATATCATTTTTTTCTAAATAATAACCATCGAACAGGGGCTAAGTACACCCCTCGTATATAATGACTACCCGTGCAGGTGCTGGACAATGGGTTAATCATCATTCCTTTAATCTTCACGTGTCGTCTCTTTTCTGAAAATTAAGTTACCATATTTTTTTCTTCCCTACGTCAAAACTAAACACAATATTAAGAGAATCATCACAATAATTTTAGAAATGAAAAATTGGATAGTTTCCTTAATAATCAACATCCAAAACAAAACTAGGCGAACTTTGACTAGGCAGTCTCTCAATAAAGGAAGAAAAAAAAATATTTCGGACTTCATCTTAACATCCCTATAACAATCGAAATCTCTATCTATCCGGCGGTTCTTCATTTGCAACCCTGTCCACTGTAGGCTCGAGATTAACGCCACCATGAACTTCGCACCAGTTTCGTTGTACTGCATCCACAATCTGTTTGTATCGATTAATTAATTTATATCCATAATTA